CTCTGTGACGTATTGACTTTCTTGCCTTTCGATGTATACCTAGTAGTAGAGTTGCTGTATCATGTGGCAATTCTATTTTTACTTTTTTCGAGGCAACATTTTTTCCCCCTGTAATGGCTAGCCAATTACATTCCCACCAACCATATAAGAAGTTTCCTTTCACCACATTCTCATGAGCAATTCCTTCCTTCCTTCCTTCCTTCTTTTCGCCTTTTGCCATTTTGAGAATAGGATTCTAACTGGGTATGGTGGATATCTCATTTTTTCAACTTGTATTTCTCCGATGATTGGTGATGCCAAGAGTTCTTTTCCTCTGTTGGTTGTTTGTATGTCTTCTTTCAAAAAAATGTCTATTCAGATCATTTGCTTATTTCTAAATTAGATTATTTGCATTTTCTTTGCTGCTGATTTGAGTTCCTTGTATATTCTGGTTATAAATTCTTTGTCTGATGTACACTTTATAAATATTTTCTCCCACTTTGTAGGATATCTGTTCACTCTGTTAATTATTTATTTTGCTCAGCAGAAAACTATTTATTTATTTTGCTATAGGATGCATGAGCTTGCAAGAGAGAAAGTAGGAGAAAGAGGAAGGTGAGAAAGCAACCCCCTTCCCCAGGAGAGTTGGCTAAGCCACAATCCTTTCTTCTCCATTCTCTTCTTGGGATTTTGGGCATGCACACACATGCCTGGCATGGTCTTCAAACTGTCAGGTCCAGTACTTTTGAACCACATTGTTGGGATCCAGCTGCTTTAACCTCTGTGCCAACTGCAAACCCTGCAGAAACTTTTTAGTTTCATATAATCCCATTTTTTCTATATTTGCTTTTTTTTACTGTGCTTTTAAAGTCTTACTTCAAAACTCTACCCACAACAATGTCAGGAAGCATTTCCTTTATGTTTTCTTAACTTCATAGTTTTTAGTCATATTTAAGTCTTTAACCCATTTTGAGTTGATTTTTGTAGTGGTGAGATATAGGGGTCTAATTTCATTCTTCTGTATATGAACACAATTCTGTCAAAGATTATTTATCTAGTTGTTCCATGAGTAGCATCTCAACTCTTGATACCATGATTGATCCAAAATTTCAATCAACCTCAGATCATGGACATATACGTACCCAGCATATGCAGGGAGGTTTTCTGGGTATGAGCCTGGAATCTTCCCATGTGACTCAGGATTAAAGAATGTCATTTTTATAGCTGTGCCTCCATCCAGTCCTGTGTACTTATTTTTTTTTCAAGCATGTTTTGTTGAAGAGAATGTTTTTACCCCCAATGAATGTTCATACCATCTTGATCAGATGGTTGTATTGATGCATCTGAATTTATTTCTGAGTTATCTGTTCTATATTTTTGGTCTATGTGTCTGATTTTATGGTTATACCATGATGTTTGGGTTACTGTATCTTGGTGTATATTTTCTGTTAGGTATTATAATATCTACAGCTTTGTTATTGTTTCATTGGATTGCTTTAGCTATAGGGATTTTTGTGATTCTATACAAATATGCTTTTTCTATTTCTGTGAAGAATGTTATTGATATTTTTGTAGAGGTTGCATGGAACCTGTAGATCATTTTGGGTAAGATGGACACTAAAAATATTAATTCTTCGTTCTTTCAACAAGAAATATCTTTCCATTTCTTTTCTGTCTTCTCTTTCATTATTATTTTATAGTTTTCATTTTTTATTTATTAATTGTTTTATTTATTATTTTTGTACCTATCATAAATGTAATTGCTTTCTTGACATTTTAAGCTAATTCACTTTTGGTTTATAAAATCACTACTCAGGGGACCAGCAGATGGTGTAATGGTTACAAGTCGATCACAATTTGACTCTTGGACCCGGTGGTTTAAAACTCACACCAGGCATGTGTACATGCATGCCTGAAATACTGAGAGGAGAATGGAGAAGGGATTGTGGCATTGCGATCCTCCCTTGGGGGGGGAGGGGGGGCAATTTCTCTCTTTCTGTCTATCTCTGTGTCTTCGGCGAACACCTATGCCCTATAGTAAAAAATCCCTCTTAAAAAAACTATTACTCATGTTTATATGTTGATTTTATGTTGTGTAATAATATGTTTATAATTTCTAAGAGTTTTGGGGGAATATTTAGGTTTTTGTTCTTTTTTTATGCTAGAAGATACTTGCATGTACACAAAAGAGAGAGTGAAAGAGGAGGGTGGGAGAGAGGAAAGCACTCCCTAAATGGACCTGGTCAAGGTCCAATCCATTTTTCTTCAGTTTTACATCTGACCAGGATCTTGGGCGTTGGCAAGCATGCTTTTCAAACCACCAGACTGAGACTCAAACCCTGGTGGGCCATGTAGGATGCAGCTTTCTCTACATAGCACTTAACTACTGTATTACAGAACTGGCTGAGTTGTTTTGTATAAATTATCATGTTGTTTGCTAACAAGGGCAAGTTAACTCTCTTCTTTTTGTGCCTAATTCCTCTGGCTAGGATTTCCAGTACTATGCTGCATAAAAATGATAGTGAAGATATTACTGTCTTGTTCTATTCTTACAACTTTTAAAATTTTCTCTGCTCAGTATGATGTTGCCTGTGAGCTTGTCATATTTTGTCCCAGCCCGTGGGACCGTTGAATAGGTTCCTTGGGGGAGGGAGTGAGAGATGGGACAAAAACACACACACACAATATGAGATGCTGATCAAGTCGTCGTCTTCCGTCTACTTCCGTTTATTGAGGAGAAATGGTGAGTTATATACAGCTGGTGGGAACCAATTGGTTGCCCCAAATGCAAATGAGATAGAACAGCATGAACCAATCATTGATGTGGGTGGATCTCTCCCGTTGCTTAGAAACCCAACCACTTCCGGGGAGAACAGTTGGTCACATGATTTCTGAGAAACGATTTGCTCAGTGAGGAAGTGAAGCCTAATGGTTTCCAAGATGGCGGATAGCTCAAGATGGCTTCCGTATGCAGTGCTCGCCACAATATTTGACTATTACTGTGTTGAGGTACATGTCTTCTATACATAATTTTTTAAGATCTTTTACGATGAAAAGATGTTTTATTTTGTTGAATGCTTTTTTGTTGTGTATTGAGATGACTGCATGTTTTTTGTCCTTCATTTTGCTGATGTGGCACATAATATTCATTGTGTGTGTGTGTGTGTGTGTGTGTGTGTATAAAATTTTAAAGAGATTTTTGCCATAAAATCAGAGAGTGAGAAAGACAGACACAGTGGAAGGGAAAGTGAGAAATCACCCCCTGGGGGGATGGTCACGCCGCAATCTCTTCTCTTCCATTCTCCTCCCAGGATCTTGGGCATGCACTCACATGTGCCTGGAGTGATTTTCAAGCAACTGGGTGTGAAACTTGAACCTTGATCAGCCATGTGGGAGTCCAGAGACGTAACCGCCATGTCATCTGCTGTCCCCATTGTGCATTGAACTATCCTTTCATTCCTCCCTTAGATCCAATTGAACAAAGTGTATAATCTTTTTTGATGTGATTTGGATTCAGTTTGCTAATATTTTGCTGAGGATTGTTGTGTCTATATGCATGAGGGATATTGATCAGCAGTTTATTCTTTCTGTTGTACCTTTATCTGGCTTTTGATTCTCTGTCTCCCTCTGTCTCTCTGTCTCTCTCTGTTTCTCTCTCTCTGAGTACATGCTTATCTCTGTGTTGATATCTGTGCATGTGGTGAGACAGTTGCCTCCACTAATTTTATGGTGTGTTTCGTGGTGAACGACTTTCTCCTGGAGACAGGCCCTGTGATTCCAGCTGCGTAGGGTGTACTGACTTCAGTTCTGGGTATACGCAGTAGTGTATTCTCTGTGCAGTTTCTTCCCTGGTGTTCAGGAGAAGGGACATCTGTGGGCGCTTCTGGGGTCTGTGCTGCAGAGATTTGCGTGTCTGGTCTGTCAGCTCAGACCTGGCTGCTGTGGAGGCAAGGGCAGTATGTGGCTGTGTGGAGTTGCTCCTGCGTCTTTGGGGGCTTTTGAGGCTGAAGGCGGGACACTGGGCTGTTTCAATCGCTGTGGGTGAGCAGAGCCACTCCTGGCACTGGTGTGTGGCTAGGCACAGGCTAAAGGCCTGTCTTGGTGGGTATCAGACGGGCAGGCTGGTATCGATGCCGACGTGGTGTTTGGCATAGGCCCCAGGTGGCCAGGACTCAAGAAGGCACTGGCAGAACGTGGGCTGGGCTCCTGCTCTTGAGCTGTGGAATAATCTGTACTGTCTGGACTCAGGGCCTGTGATGGCCTAGGGGGTTTTCCAGCAGCAAATACTCCAGGTGTCTGTGGCATCCACGGTGACTGCCAGGGGTGTCCTACTCCCCTTTTCCTTGCTTGTAAAAGCTCTTTGTGCTAAGGTGCTTCTGACGGGTGGAAGAGTGGCAGGTACAGGGCGCCTCTATCCCTGTCTGTGAGTCTGTCCTGAGTCTCTGTCCACCATTGCATCCATGCCGATTCTCTAATCAATTACTCTGAGCAGATATCAGATGTTTACTCTTGGATTTTGGTTCTTTCTTGTGGGAGTAAAGTGTTCTAGACACCTCTAGTCAGCCATGTTGTCACTAAAATGTGCATTCGAATGTAACGTTGTGGCTAGTAAGTATCTTCTGACATACTGATGTTTCATGTCTTACAAAATAATTTTTTAAAATAGTGACTATTCTGCCTGCCATGCATCAGAAGAATCCGCCAAAGTACTTACATGCCATATATTAACGGTTTTTATTTCTGTTTTCTTCCCTTTCTTATCTACTTTTAATTTCCTTTCTTATTTCATTATTGCATGAACTTATTTCTTGACTCTGTTCTCTGATTTTGAAAAGATAACACATGGACCTTCATTCTAGTGCTTTTTCATTAAATAAAAGTATTTTTCATGTTAAAATAAAATGACTCATATGCAGAATCACATTATCCTAATAATTATATTGACCAACAATCACAAATGATGCATTTAACTTTAGGTTGCATGCTAATGTTCTTATTTTTTAATTTTTTTTTTGTTTTAGGTTTGCAATACTCTTTTCAATTGTCACTGTGATAAAGGCTATTCTCCTCCAGATTGTGACCCAACACCATCGTCACCAGGAGGAAGTGTCAATGACGGGTTTTGGCGTCCAATCGGTCAGTTCCCAGAGAAGTGTGTTCCCATAGAGCTTTCTGACTCACAGATGTGGTCTGTGTCTCCTCTTTCCTCTGTGGCTGCCAAGTACCTGATATGCAGATAGTGCAACTAAGGAACTGAAACTCCAATTTTATTTTCCTTAATTTAAACTTAAGTAGCTCTTTGTGGCTATTGGCTGTTATAGTGGACAATGTTGTTCTACTGGTTCTTGGGAAGGTCATGATGCATTTTTGCATAGGAAACCATAGAAAAGCATGTCATGACTTTCACAAAGACCTAATAGATCATACAATCCATCAGAATGATCAGTTCACTTATTTATTATTTTTGTTTTGTAAGATTATTTGTTCATGTAAGAGAGCATGTGGCGTACAAGGAACAGAAACACAGAGAGAGAGAGAGACCCTCAAGAGGGGCTCATGTGCCTTCGCCGCCTTTTCTCAGCCGTCCGACTTGTCAGGATTCTGGACATGCATGCACCTGGCATATGTTCAAGCCCTCTCGGGGATTCAAACCCACAGCCATGTGACTTCCTGTGCTGCAGTTCAGTCTGCAGCCAACTACACCACCAGATTGGGCATATGTTAACACTTTCAATGATAATCTACAAGGGAATTTTATAAGGCCTTTCTTTAAATTCAACCATGGCTTCCAGAATGTTACTGGTCCCATAGCAGAGATTTTTTTTTACATAGGTATAATTAAATGATAGGAAAAATAGTACTTTTATCAGATAGTATGTGTATTTTGAGGATGTCGTGTAGTGTTATGTTTTAGTTCACAACCAAGTTGTATCTTTTTTTTTCTTTTACCTTTTTAAAAATTATTATTTATTTAGTTTTATTTACTATTATTATAATTTTTAAATTTGTTACAGGGCATGTTCACTCACCAGAAAAAGACAGAGAGAGACAGAGAGGAGAGAGAGAAAGAGGGAGAGAGAAAGAGAAAGTGAGAAAGCAACCCTCCAGGTCCAGGCCTTGAACTGTAGTTGGTCAAGTGTGAGTCTAGTACCTTAACCACCATACTACCTACTGGCTTCATATCTTTTAAATTACTGTTGAAAGGAAAAATTAATAAAATCTTTTGTACCCACTACACATGCATACTAGGTGGCACTAACTATTTAAAAATGTACTTGGTGAGAAGTAGTAAATAAATATAACATTTCTGGTTTTACTAAACCTAGTTTTGTTTTTAATTTTTTTTTATATGCTAGAGGGCACAAATACTTACCAGAGAAAAACAAAGAGAGAGATGAAAAGTAAGAAAGCACCCCCACCCCGCTATGGGGAATGGTCGTGCCACAGTCTCTTCTCCATCACTCTTTTCTCAAAGGATTTTAGGGTACACACACTCACACATAATTAGCAGGATTTTCAAGCCTCCAGGTCTGGGACTTAAACCATGTAGTCAGCCACATGGAATCCAGCCACCTTAACCACTGTGACGCCAGCTGTCTTCAAAACTTTTTTTAACAGTTACAGGTGTACACCTGAACTAACACTTGCAGTATGAGCTCAGAAGTCAAATATGTCAAGGCAGTGACTACATTTCTAATTAACAACTTGTATGAATAACTTAACGTGGCAGCTTGGACAAAAGAGCTAAAAACTTGAAGGTTAAGAACAGATTATATGTCAAGGAGGTTATGGGAAAGTGTTTTCTTGCTTCCATAATTGAGAATTTTATTTATTTTATAGTAGATGATACTGAAAAAATATGTGTGTGTGTTTCTATTTGATGTTACCATGTGTTTGAATTTATGTACCCACCACCACCACCACCGCCACTACAACCCGCGTACATAAACGATCATCACTGTGGGGCTCCCTAATGTTCGTCCTTTGTAGATAATGTTGATCTCCCCTTCCCCCATTTCTAAGTCCTTGCAAGCACTAAACTACTCTCCCTCTCATCAACTTTGTGATTTTATAAATGTTATATAAATAGTCACAAAGTTGGTTTCTCTGTGAGAGGGACTGTTTGTTGCATATTTTCCATGAACTGCATTAAAATTATTGCGTGTATAAATATTTTTCTTTTTTTATTGATTACTAGTATTTGAATTAATATATTAACCCACATTTTTGCATTTGCATTACCAGTATTTGATGGTACCATTACTTTTTATTTTAACCACTCCATCAGCTGTGTATTAATATCTCATTGTGGTTTAAATCTGCACTTGCCTGTGGATAATGATATTGGACATCTGAAATGTGTTTTATTTGATGTGTATCTTATTCAGTGAAAAGTCTGTTAATTTCTTTTGCCATTTTCTAATTGGATTGCTCGTGTTTTTAAAATGTTGCATTTTGAGAGACTTTGTTTTCCAGACGTGTGTTATTTTGTTGGATGTATGATTTGTAAATATTTTCTTTAACACTATAATTTATTTTTTCTAAGACTAACATTTTCTTGATTAATTCCTCTTTTTTTTTAAAATCATGCTTTTGGTGTGAAGTGTATGAACTCATTGTCTAGCCTGGAACTTGAAGATTTTTCTGATGATACCTTTGGTATCATTGTATGTTTTACATTGAAGTTTGTAATACATTTTGAGTTAATTTTTATAAAGCAGAAAAGATGTTAAATTGAAATGAAAGTTTTTGATTTGTGTATGTCCAATTTTTGTGGAATAATTTTTTGAAAAATCTATCACTCTTCAATTTAGTTGTTTTTGCATCTTTGTCAAAAAATATTTGAACATCTTTTATTGGTGTTTTTCTCAGTTGTCTTTCATTGATTTATGTATCATTTCCTCCATCAATGCCATGCTGTTTTACTATTATACCTCTGTAGTATTCTTTAACATTGGGAAAAGTTATTTTTTCTCTTTATTCTTGTTTTTGAAAATTGTTTTGACTATTCTAGGATCTCTTCTTTGTATATGCATTTTCTAATTAACTTTTCTTTGTTTATAAAAATCTTGCTGAGGTCAAAGCAGCTGAATCCCACATGACTAATTACATGGTTTATTTCAGTCTTGGTGCAGAAGTTTGAAAAACATGCTGGGTGCATGTGTGCGCTGCCCGAAATCCCCAAAGGAAGGAGAGATGTGGAAAAAAGATTGCAATGTGACCATCCTCCGTGGGGGTGCTCTCTCACTGCTCCTCTCTCCTCTTCTCTGTCTGATAAGCACAGGGTCTCTCTGGCAAATCTAAGCAAACAAAACTTTCTGTAACTTTGACACAAATGATATAAAAACAATTTAAGAAAAATTGACACCTTCACTACTAGTGAACTTTCCAATCTACAGACATAGTATGTCTCTCCAATTATTTAGGTCTTCTTTGATTTATTTTATTGAAATATAATTTCTGTCATTTATTGTGCATGTATTATTATTTCATTATTTGATTTTTGGGTTATGCATTTCCTTTTTGCTATTTCATTTAAGACAGGAGTTAAATATTTATAAGTATTTAATTATTTGTAAATAATGCTATGGGTTTTTTGCTTTGGCTTCCACTTTTTTAAATTTTTTGATTTTTTTCTTTATTCATGAGAGTGCACCTGCACGTAAGAGAGAGCTAAGAGAATGTGTTCCAGGGTTTGGTCATGACAGCTTCCCCTTTCTCCAGTGCTTTACCTCATCAGGTCTTGGGCACTCACGTGCCTGGTGGGTTTTAGATGGTTAGGGTCGGAGATTCAAATTGCGATCTTCATGTAGGATACGGCTTCTCGTGAGCATTGTATTCCCACTCTGCTACAGAGCTGGCCTTGTCACTTGTTTGTTTAATACATAGATATGCAATTAATTTTTACCTGTAGATTTTATATTCTGCAACATAATTGAATTCATTTTTAGTTCTGAAGGGTTTTTTTGGTTAGTTTTTTAGCGTTTCTATGTAAACAATTAAGTCATCTTCAAATACAGATAGTTTTTCTTTCTAGCCTGTAGGCGTGCAATTTATTTATTTATTTATTTATTCATTCATTCATTCATTCTAACATTTTCTAGAACTTGCAGTAGTATGTTGAATAAGGACTGTGAAAGTAAACATCTCATCTTATTATTGTTTTTAGGGAGAAAATTTAGTCTTTCCCCATTAAATATGATTCTAGTTGTAGGGTTTTTTTTTGTAATCTTTATGAGCTTGAGGAAATTCCCTTTAATGTCTAGTATCTAAAATATTTTGGTACTAACAGTATTCATTTTTGCCAGTTGTTTGGTGTCTCTTGAGAAGACTATATAATTTTGCATCTTAGCCTATTGAGATGCTGAATTGCACTGATTTTAAAGTAGTGATCAAAATTTTAATATCTAGAATAATTACTCCTTGGACATGATCTATTTTTTGTATGTTACTGAATTTTGTTTATTTATTTATTTATTTTTTTGAGAGATTTTCACTATAGGGCACGTGCGCTCGCCAGACAGAGAGAGATAGAGAGACATAAAGCGAGAAATCACCCCCCCAGGGTGATGGCCACGCCGCAATCCCTTCTCCTCCATTCTCCTCTCGGGATCTTAGGCATGCACGCACACGCACCCAGCGTGAGTTTTAAGCCACCGGGTCCGGGATGCGAACTGTGGTTGACTACGTGGGAGTCCCGCGACATAGCCATTACGCTAACTGCTGGTTCCCTGAATTTTATTTTTTAATATTTTATTGAGAATGTTCAAATCTGTGTTCTTGAGAAACATTGGTTTCTTTCTTGTTTCTTCCTTTCCCTTTTTGTTTTACTGTCTTTATTTCATTGTGAAATCAGGTAATACTGGCTTAATAAAATTAGTTGGGGAGCATTTATTCCTCCTCTATATTCTGTAAGTATTTGCTTTAAATTAGCATTATTTCTTTTTCAAACATTTGATAATATTTTCCGGTGAATATGTATGGGCCTGGGGAGTTCTTTCTGGGGGAGTTTTTAAATTATAAATTTATTATCTCTATAGATAAATTGACATCCATAACATCCATTCCACCTTGGGTGAAGTAAAGTAGCTTGTACTTTAAAAACAACGTGTTCTAACTAATTTTTCTCTACTTTTATCAGCCACCAAGAGAGGGAAACAAACAAAACTTGCACACCCACACAAACCCTCTCATCATAATTGTCTGTTTACTTACTTGTCCATTTTATTCTGTCGGTTTGTATTTCATTCCATTTTGAGTATTTGTTAATTGGTGTATACTTAATTTGAATCTTTTTGTGTCTTTCTGGTAAATGGCTTCTTTTATTATGTCTTTAGCGTATTTTTTAAATCTTTGTCTTGATTTTGCTTCATCTGAAATTCACCCTCAGTAGTCATCTGAGGGGCCCTAGCAGTGATGCCCTGGTTAAACAACTGGGCCCACATGAAAGTTGGGTTTACCTTCTGCGATCTCCCTGAGCATGAAAAGAAAAGGCATCCAAATAGGAAAAGAAGAAGTGAATTTATCTCTATTTGCAGATGACATGTTTATATATATAGTAAACCCCCAAAGAATCCAGAAAAGAAAACTCCCAGGGACCAGCAATTGGCATAATGGCTATGTTGCTGGACTCTCATGTAGTCGACCGCAGTTCGAGTCCCGGTGCACATGTGCACACCTGTAGTCTGGGCTGGCTGAGACTGGGATGGGTTGTGGCGTGAAGAGCCTGTTGGAGATGTCTCTGTATTCCTCTCTTTTTTATTTAATTTATTTTTTTTTTATTTTGATTTTTTGGAGAGGTTTTTGCTATAGGGCATGTGCGCTCTCCAGACAGACAGAGAGAGACAGACAGAAAGGGAGAAATCACCCCCAGGGGGGATAGCCATGCTGCAATCCCTTCTCCCCCATTCTCCTCTCAGGATCTTGGACACACACGCACATGCGCCCAGCATGAGTTTTAAGCCACTGGGTCTGGGACTCAAACCGTGGTTGACTACGTGGGAGTCCAGCAACATAGCCATCACGCTGCTGGTCCCTCTGTCTTTCTCTCTTATGGAAGGAATAAATGAATAAACTTTTAAAAAATCAGCTTTAACTCATAGGTTCAACAGCCCTTTATTTAGAAAATCATATTACAGATAACTTAGAGCAGTAGGAATAAATCTAGTAAAATCATCTTTGTCACACATTTTAATAAAATTTTAAACATTGAAAACTCTATTTGATTTATGGATATTTTTTCTATAGGGTGTGTGTGCTCGCCAGGGAGACAGAGAGAGAGAGACCCCTCTCCCCCAGGGAGGATGCCCATCCTCCATCCTGCAATCCCTTCCTCTCCATTCTCCTCTTGGAATTTTGGGCATACACACATATGTGCCTGGCATGAGTTTGAAGCTGTTGGGTCTGGGACTCAAACTGTCCAGCTGTGTGGGTGTCCAGTGACATAACCATTGCACCATCTGCTGGTCCTCAAATTCTACTATGTGTTTTTACTGAGCTTTAATTCACTATGTTTTGAATTCAACTCCCTGATGTCAAATATGAAACTGGAATGTGTCTTTCCTGCATTTTCCCAATTTATTTGAAATGAATCTCTAATACGCTTGAGAAACATGCCAGGCATGTGTGCCTCAAATCCCAAAAGGAGGGGAAGATGGAAGAGAAGGGATTGTGGTGTGACTATGCCTCACAGAGGGTGCTTTCTCACTTTCTTTTTCCCTTTTTTCCTCTCTTTTTTTCTCTCTGGTGAATGCACACTGCCTTTGGTAAACTAACAAATAAAAAGGGAATGAAATTCTGATACATGCCTACAGTATGGATAAATATTCAAGACGTGCTAAATGAAGTAAGCTAGTTAGCATGAAACAAATATGATATATGTGTATATTTTTGAAATGAGAAGTACCTAGGTTAATCAAATGCACACAGTCAAAAAAGAATGGCGTTTCCAGGGATTGGGGCAGGGGAAAGTGGTGAGTTAATGTTTGGTTGGTAGAGTCTCAGCTTGCCCGATGAGAAAGTTGTGGATTTGGACGGCGGTGGTTGCACAACAATGTGAATGCTCTGTGCCTCTCACTGTACACTTAAACGTCTGAAACGGGAGCCAGCAGGTCATGTGGTTAAAGTGCTGCACGCCCACGAGGCTGACTGTGGTTTGAGTCCTAGACCTGGTGGCTTGAAAATCGCAGTGGGTGCATATGCTTGCATTCCCTAAATCCCAAGAGGAGAATGGAGGAGAGGCATTGTGGTGTGCCCATTCCTTCTAGAAGGTGTTTTCTCACTTACCCTCTTTTTGTCTCTTTCTGGTGAGCACACACACCCTATGGCAAAAAACTTAAAGAAAAAAAAAGAAAAGAAAAAAATTTAAACATTTGAAATGGAAAATATTTGTGTTGTATATTTTAATGTAAGTGGAAATAGAAAAAGTTTTATTTATTTTGTAACCAAAAAAGAGATGTTTACAAATAGTCTTATCAAAAGAAGTACAATGCATACATTGGAAGCTAAAAATGCAATATTGGAAGAAATTAAAGATCTTCATCAGCATACAGATATCTCATGATCATATATTAGAAGACTCAATCTTGTTAATATAGAAATCCTCCCCAAATTGATTTGCAGATTCAACACAATCCTTAACAAAACCCTAGCTGACTTCTAAAAAGCTGATTTTAATAATCATATTTCTTAATAAAATATGTATTGGATTGTAGGAAAGTCATGATTCATTTTTACATAGAAAACAGGAAAAATATGTCATGACTCTTCTGACAACCCAATACAAATACCCATAAAGAGAGCCTCAATATCCAGGGAAAGTGCAGACTAAAACTACAGTGAAAGAGCTCCTCACACCCACTAAGATGCTTATAACAAGAAGGACAGGCAACATGTGTTGGGGAGAATGTGGAGAAATTGGGATCTTCTTGATGCCAGTTTCCAGTACTGCTCAAATACTAGTAGCTCCATTCCACTCTCAGTCCATTAAGGGAAGCTGTCTGGTAGGCGTCAGTGTCCTCATACTGTGAGTATACTCCTTATCTTTCTGCCGGTGACTCCCGGGGAGTTCCTGTAACGGCTTCTGGGTCTCTAATCTGTGGACCACTCTCCCTCCAATACTGCATCCTGCAGAGTCCAGCCTTCTCTGCCGCCTTGACGCTGTACTGGGCCTCCCTGGCCACGAACACCATCTCCTACTCTGTGCTTAGGTAGAACTGAATTGACACAAAATTGGCATCAGGGGTTTTCCTCCCTGTGGGTGCTATCATAAAATGACATCAGCTATGTTCCTCCTCAGGTATTACAGGTTTGCACTTCTATTGCTTCGAATAAACATTTTGCTCAGTTTTTTTTTTTTCCCCTGTATTATATCTTCATAGTAACAGGGCCTGTATGGCACAATTTAGTGCAAAATTTCATCATGGCCAAACATGGACATCCTGTCTTTCTTCCTTAGAGTAATGGATATGTCCTGTTTAATCCAGTAAGAATAGGTGCCAATTAATTTAATCATTCCTGAGAACATTCAAGTACCTAAGAAGTCCCAATGCTGATAGGGTAGTTTTAGTGAAGCTGGGCTAATGGAGGGCTGACTACCCAATGGAGGAGGGAGTGAAGGGGAGCCCTTCAGAAGCATTGCTCTCTACCACAGCACAAGATAGATGCGTTTTTGCTTGATGTCACTAGTTTTGTGTTTTCTAAAAAGAATTGTTTATTTAACTTAATTTGTTCATTTTATTTTATTTTATTTTATTTTATTTTTTAATTTGAACAGAAAGAGAGAAGGTGAGAAAGCAAACCACCAGGTCTGGGACTCGAACTGTGGTCAGCCATGTTGGAGTGACCAGTGCCTTAGCCACCATGCCACCCACTGGTCCCCAATGTCAGTAGTTTTGAATATACTTGCCAAATTTTTTTCTTTCTAGTATGTAGTACACCGTGAACCATTTTCATTTAGGTAAAATACCTCCAATCAACATATAACTGGATTGTCTGTGTATGTGTTTTACACTTAACAATTCCTTGTTTTAAAAATTCATTTATATTTGATATCATAGTAGCTATTTTTGGTGGTAATTTTGATTGGCATTTTAGTCATCTGGTTTATTTCTTTTGTTAATTGGATCAAGTTTCTAGAGATTTCATTTTCTAATTCTCTTAGAGATTGTACACATTCTGTCACCTACAGGGATATTTATTTTTCTAAATAATAGAGTCAAAATTACAACAAAATTACTGTATATTACATACTGAAATTTAACCTATTTTGCTATTATTATTTTTTTAAAGATATTTTTGCTATAGTACACATGCAGTTGCCAGAGAAACACAGAAAGACAAAGAGACAGAAAGTGAGAAATCACCTCCTGGGGGGATTGCCACACCACAGTCGCTTCTCCACTGTCTTCTCGGGATCTTGGGCATGCACGCACACACGCCCAGCATGCGTTTTAAGCCTCTGGGTTCAGGACTCAAACTATGGTCAACTACGTGAGAGTCTAGTGATAGAACCATTACACCATCTGCTTGTCTCTACCATTAATTTTTTAGGTAACCCCCAAATATGTCAATAGTTTTTCATAAAATCATTTTTAAGACATTTTATTTTTTTCTATTTTTAAGAGTAGAGAATCTAATTTTAGATTTTAAAATGTATGGGTTTTAAGTAGCAATTTCTACACAACTATATGATAAAATGAGTTAGAATAAGAGAAAAATTCTTGGTAAAATGGAATTTAAATATGAATCTATATTGGTACCAAATTATTTTAGAATCTGAGCAGTTTTTTTTCATAATATATTGCCACAAACTTTTTAAAGAAACCCCATATATCACGTAAGATTAACTATAAAAAAGAGATAATAAATAAATATACATAAAGAATATTGTACCTGTCCAGCACTGAACATTGCCAGTGTTACGTGTAATGTATTCATTTATACCGTACTTTGGGGCACAGTTATGGGAGGTTGGAAGACTATTGCATTAACACATATTCATTCTGTGTCTATATTATTTGAAGTACAAATTTTAAATGGAAACTACTAGTATAGTTTGAATAGAATTTAAAATAATTAAAAAGTATCCTTATGTTTTCAGTTAAAAGAATGCCCTTGTTTCTAAAACAACGTGCTGCTTCTCAAAAAAATGGCCTTTTGATCAGTTTGTATATATTTCTACCTATCCTCATTTTAACCACCATCATTGTTTTTAAATGGAAAGATATGAAGGGATTCTGGAACAAAGAAGGAACAGTACACAGCGAGTAAGTAAACAGTGTCGATATTTAATATTAAAAATGAATGATAGAATTAAAATGCAATTAAGAATATTACAGGCAGGGAGGCCGGAATGAGTTGGGTTAATGTTTAGAAGTATTGAGTAAGTTAGTCTCAGGGTTTACCAAAGCTTTTTTTTTTTTTTTTTCTTCAGTCAGGTAACCTTCGTGTTCCACCAGGGCCAGGGACAATTGAAGTTCTTCAGAAAATGTTCAGTTTCCTTAAAATATAATGTCATACTGGTTAGAGCAGACTTAGGGGGTATTGCCTACTCCCTGTTTTCCCTGCACTGGAAGATAGTCCTGCCAAGGAGATCAGTAGGGACAGGGAAGCAGATTTTGTGAATAGACTATATGGAAGGTGGGGGAAAGTAGATCTCATGGAATGACAGGGAAGACAGAAGGGTACTCCGCATGCTGCACATAATGAGTGTTGTTCTGTATTTGAACCATGGTAAGGTCCCTGTTCCGTTCTTCCCTCCACCGTAACACCAACACAAGCCACAACTGGCTCAGCCGCTGTTCAGGGCCCTGCCAGGGTAGAAGTGAGGGTACGTGGGTGAGTCTTGTTCCATGCCGAAGGAAAATGGTTTTCCGTTCCTCACTTGTGTGGATGGAGATAGAATGATGCTGTAAAATTTCCGTGAACACCTCGGTTTCCCAGGGTAGTTCATTTTATTTATCAAAAAGTGAGCAGTGACTAGTTAATTCAGGGTCATGTTCCTGATTAATATGCATATTTATAAAATCCTCCAACTGTGATAAATAGACTTAGTTGGCGACGGCTGGCATGTCTTCCTGTGCTCTCACCGGACGTGTCTTGGAAAAATCTGGAGTTGCTTAAGTGATGATGGTCTGCTTGCATTTGGCCCAGAAAATGTATATGAACCCTTCCTGTATCCGCTTTCAAACCAAATGCCAACGGCCTTTCGGTCGCCAGGGCCTCTTAGTGCGTATTTTCCGGAGACAGAAGGAAATAGCTGTGCAAAGCGCCTACACTTACCCGGGGTCTGCCTGGACCTGCAGCCCTGAGTTAGGTCTTCAACCCTGACCAAGCCCGACCTCATCACCTCCGGCTAAGCAGTTGTAGCCATGCAGTGGGAGCCTGGACCATATGACTGCTCTCTTCGACAGGGACTGTGTGGGTTGGAGTATTCCAGAGGGCGGGGGAGGTATAGAAATACCACAAAGTGGTTCCATTTATTGGGTTGTCAGAAAAGTCATGATGAATGTTTGCAAAGAAAAACAGAAAAATACGTCTTGACTTTTCCAACAATCCAATTGTTCAGTAAGACCCAGAAACCTCACTGGAGTCTCTTCAATGAAGTTAAATTTATAGCCCAAATACCTAGCTGTGTATATAGTTATTTGATAGGAATATCATAGTTAGATGGTTATGTAGGAATTTATTTTACTTTGGAGAAGCACTGTCATCTGTGTAGCTCATGTCATCTTCCATGTAGTCAAAATAATGGATTGATTTTTAATTTGAAGCCGTCAACAAATACTAAATATTCCTTAAAGTTACACTAACATTAGAAAAAGAGCAAATACTAGAATATGGGTAAGAAAGTGGAAAATGGTGCATTTCTATTAATATCCAGATCTAGCTTTTTTCTTTTCTTGACTTTTCTCAAAATTAAAGTGCTTGCCAACCTTAAAAATAATGCTATCGCTTTTGTACAGATCTTTATCAGAAGACAGCAATAGTAACAGCTTTAGCGACAACAGCCAGTCAGAGTTAAAGGTAAGTTTATAGAATCAAAATATAGAAAAAATGATGTAATTCATAAAGTAGCTCATAAAATTGTTAATAATATCTCAGTATTAGGAAACTATTATTCCCATAGAATGATTCTGAACTTTATTAATTAATGTCATAAATTAAAACAAAGACTAAGGTAAAATTTTGATGTTTTGTTCTATATTAATTTTAAAATGTTGGGAACCAGCAGTTAGTGTAATGGCTATGTCGCTGGACTCCCATGTAGTCTCGTCCCGGACCCGGTGGCTTAAAACTCATGCCAAGCATGTGTGCATGTGTGCCCAAGATCCCGAGAGGAGAATGGAGGAGAAGGGATTGCGGCGTGACCATCCCCCCTGGGGGGTGATTTATTGCTTTCTGTCTCTATGTCTCTCTCTCTCTGTCTGTCTGGCAAGCGCACGTGCCCTATAGTGAAAACCTCTCCCCCCCAAAAAAAAAATTTAAATGTTTAAGGTTATCTAATATTAGCAAGAGGTATATTAAGCAACATTTTTGTGATAAGAAATGACTTTAAACATGGCAAAAATATCTTTTAACGGGACCAGCAGATCGAGTAATGGTTATGTCACTGGACTCCACGTAGTTGACTACAGTTCAAGTCCCGGACCCAGTGGCTTAAAACTCAAACCAGACGTGTGTGCATGAATGCCCAAAATCCTGAAAGGGGGAGAATGGAGGAGAAGGGATTGTGGTGTGGCCATCCCTCCCTAGGGGGGTGATTACTCACTTTCTGTCTCTCTCTCTGTCTCTCCGGCAAGTGTACATGCCCTATAGCAGAAATCTCTCTTTAAAAATATATCTTTCAAAGTATTTATGAACACTTATACCTTTTCCTCCCTCATTTAAGGTACTAATTGGTATATTTGCACACATTTTCTCCCACATTTACGTTTTTTTCTCCTTATAACTTCATAGGTATGGTTATTTTATATTAGAAATGCAAAAGTGGACATAAGAGATTCATATGATTCCTCATGTGTATAGGATTTTAGTAAGTCTTCGAGGTGGCGTTTAAATGAAGGTAGTCAGGCTCCAGAGTTAAAATTCTTGAATGCCACACTCTTGTCACACATATCCTGATATTTGGCTGAAGATGAAGAATGGAATTTATATTAAATTCTAAAGACATTCTCCTTCCAAGGCATATAGACTATTTTCAATTGAAGTGAGGAAGAAATTGTCATGCATATACATTATTCTAAGTTCTGATTTGTATATGTAAATAATGATATTTGACATGTTAGGTCTATTACTGCGAATAAATGAAAAAGCTGAAAATATTAAACGAGAGTGAGACCAGCAGTTCACCTGACCAGACACCTGCCAGTCAAGATGTTTCTTGAAGTCCATCAGATGTGTCTGTTGGAACGCCCCTAGTAATTTCCACCCTTGCTCTGTCTGCAGCCAAGGTCAGGGAAAGACAAGTTACAAGGTTCTGCCAAACCCCAAAAGAGCATGTGGTGTTTGCTCAGCACATGTCCCCACATAAATGAAAAAGCTGAAAATATTAAACGAGAGTGAGACCAGCAGTTCACCTGACCAGACACCTGCCATTTCCACATACCTGACTTTAAATGGTGGTTAATCAGTGGGTTTTCGCTTCCTTGTCTATCACCGAACACTGATGGTTAGTGAGAGAAAAATGTTTCAGAGTTCTTTATTTTTAATATTTCAAAGTCTGTTTATTTAATTCTTCCCATGAGCCAGAGAGACAGAGAGATAGGCGCCCCACCAGGGCCTCAGTGCTGCAATCCACCCCCGTTTTCAGCTCTCTTTGGATGAAGACACACACATGCCCAGAGTCGTCAGGGAGGTCTCCAGAGGCGAACTGGAAATGTTCCAGTGTGGATCGGCCACACAGAGCTGTGTTTTTAGCATGTCCCAACATCAGGACCCCCTCTCATTTTAAATTTTAAGCATCCTACCGGAAGACCTGCTTCCCTTTTATGGCAAAAAGTTAAAATCAGGTATTCATACTTCCCTAGAGATAAACACAGAGTTTTCTAATTTCCGCTGCAAATCAAATCTATGCAGAGCTAGAGCTGGCAGATTACCCGTGCATGCACCTGGGCAGTAGAGTCGCAGACACCTGGGCCATCTGAGACAGATCAGGTCAAGAATATGTGGTGGATAATAGGGCTGTTGATTTTTCTGGAGCAGAATTAGCACGAGGACTGGAACCGCGATTCAGTGAGAAAAGTAACACTTACATAGGGTCGTGGAGGTCTTCAAGGCCGTCTCTCTTTTGCTCAGAGTGAAAGAGAGGGACCACTACCGGAGTTAGATTTGAAGCACACGACTTACGTAGGAAAGGTGGGCTGTCGGAAACAGCTTGCGCGATGACAGGAGTAGAAGTGGAAAGCCTGCTGTCATAATCCAGGTGAGAAAAGTCAGTATTGCAGTCTGGTGTGGTAAAGATGGTCTTACGGATACTTTTTTTTTTTTTTTTTTTTTTGCGTTTTTTTTTTTTTTTTTTTTTTTTTTTGCTATAGGGCGCATGCACTCACCAGACAGACAGAAAGAGAGAGAAAACGAGAAATCACCCCCCCCAGGGGAAAGGGCCACGCCACAATCCTTTGTCTTCCATTCTCCTCTCGGGATCTTGGGCATGCACGCACACGCGCCTGGCGTGAGTTTTAAGCCACCCAGTGTGGGACGCGAACCACGGTCGACCACATGGGAGTCCAGCATTACTGATAAATTTTGAAGGGGAATCAGCAGAATGGTTGGATGCAGAGTGCAAGAAAAAGTACTGAGTAATGAGTTTATTGATAGAATGCAGGAAGATGGCGTGACTAAAGCATAAAAACAAGCCTCTGGGTTCCCCAAATTTGTACTCTTAATATTTCTTAAAATTCATTTTACATGTATGAATATTGAGAGAAAAACTGCATAGATGGCCTTGAGCCACCGCAAGTGGTAAGCCATGACAGGCTTACATTTTCCCACGTATGAACGGTGACATCAAGTGTTTGACAGGAGTAGTACAGGCATCTGGCCTGACGTGGTTTGAATTTTAATTTTCCCTGGGAGGATGTAGGAGGAAGTGGAATCAGTTGGGACTGGAAAGAAATACAGCAGCAAAGAACCTGCTGGATTCCCAGGGTAGGTGTGAGGAGGGCAGGACTAGATAAAGAAAAGTCCAAAACTACTTGGAGAGATTTGACAGAGATAAATACTACAGGGGCACTGACTGGATGGGTGTGACTGGGTTAGACTGAGAGAACTGCAAAGACCCCAGCGTCTCCTACAGAATGGGTAGTGACACCTTTTACCAATGACACACTGGAAAGTAAGGGAAGACCCAGGCTGCTGTTGAGGTGAAGAAATGGAAAGCCAAAGAGTGAGTTTGGTTTTGAACTTGTGTCTGTCAGACACCTGTAGGAAATGCACAGAGTGCTTGTGGGAATACTCTTCCTCTGCAGATAAAAACAGGCAGTTGGGGCCAGCAGATGGCATAGTGGCTATGTCTCTGGACTCCCACATGGCTGACTGTGGTTCGAGTTCCAGATCCAGTGGTTTGAAAATCATGCTGGACATGTGTGTGCGCGTGCCCAAAATCCCAGGAGGAAAATGGATGAGAAGGGATTGCAGAGTGGCAATCCTCTTAAAAAAAGTAAAAAAGGATAAATTAATAGTAACTCTGTTCCAATTCTTCACAAGTTTATATTGTTCTTTTCTGTTAACTTGTTAATCCTCTTTTACCATGCAGTGTTTACAGACTGTGAATTTTATATATATATATATATATCTATCTATCTATCTATCTATCTATCTATCTATAAAATATCCA